CGGCGGGAGCGCTGCCGCGCTCCCAAGCGGCACACTGTAGCAGTGCGCCACCGGGCCGGCCCTATCTTTTCTTTTCTCATACCCCATTTTCCATAGCCCAAGAACTTTGACCACAGAAGCATCAGTTCCACCAAAGAGGAAGGAGGCAGAAGGGAGATATGGGGACCTCATTAGCAGGCTATCAGCAGGCTTTTAGGGGCTGGAGGGAAAACCACCAAGAGCATGATATGTGAGAGTTCTTGGCTCTTTATGTCCTGTAAAATGAAATAAGCAGATAGTGTAGCTTGGGGCTAACTTAACCTTGGGTTTAAACTCAGACCCTTAATTATGCTGTCTGGGTCTGTTTTAACACCATGTTGAGGAGTCCAAAATTGTGAGTTGGAGCCATGATTGGAAATAAAACCTTCTGCCAACTGGTTAACGAGAGAATGATCTGGAGAGAAAGTAAATGGGCAAGTGAGGGAATGTTTCAAAACAAAGACTGCCTAAAACATCCCAAAATACACATTCTTTTAAGTGGATCAGTTGAGTCATCTTCACATATGAAGAAAAGACACAGTTATTAGATTGTTTCTTAGCCTTAAAAATGACTCCACTACATTTCTTTTATCATTATGTCCATAAACAGAAATCAGAGAAAACTTACTGGATACCCTTGAATTACAATTAGTGCATTACACTAAGAATCTTATGCACCCTCAGCTCTTCTAGATGCTTCTTCTAAGTTTCTGTGCACCACCGACTTTGTTTTCTTCAGGCCTAGGTTTTGGGAAAGCTTCAATGCATGCCATGGAAACCTTTCTATGAGCCAGAGATCTTTTCATTTTAGGTTCCAGTTTCTTCATACAATATAGAAAGAGGGCAGTGACTACATTTTAAATGTAATTAGTTTGCAAAAATATTTCATTTGGTAGAATTTGGCCCACCTTCTCCGTACATATCAGTTTCGGGTTTTATATTGAGAGGAACAGGCAAGGAATTTCCAACCCTTGTTTCATCCCCAAGATGTCCTCCTTTTCTCTCTGTTGTGAGTTTTTATTTTTGTTTTTTTTCCAAAAAAGAAGAGTCGGGGAGGGACAGTTATCCTTGAGCTGTTCCACTTGTTTTTGTTCTAGCACATTTATCCCTCACCAAAGTTGGAAAAATTATACATTGTAGTTTATACACTGTAGTTTATATCTCTTGTCACTTTAATACAAGAGGGTTCAGTTTTTCTTGCTTTCATTTTCTCTCTTTTTTGGGGGGGGCATGGTGGCTGCTGGTAGTGGTATTGCTAGACTCTAAGCTCTGTGAGATTATGTCTTATTTAGGCATGCGCAATGCCTGGCCCATAGATGAATGAGTGAATTGGGGCATTATTCTATAGATGGTTTGTTGTTTAGAAAATCAATGATTGAGACGACATCAAATTTTACATCTGGCTTTGAGATTAGCATGATTCCCAATTTTCACTGAGCTGTATTACATCCAGAGAGCCTGAGAAGGGATCCCCAGCTCCTTGTTCCAGCCTGAGATATAGTGAATAAGTTATGAGAAAACAGGTTTTTAAAAATAAATGGAATCTTAGTGATCATTTGACCCATTCTCAGAATAACTATGAAAGTTGACTAAGATCATTCAGAGCTAGTGGCAGATCTGGGACTGGAATTAGCCCTCCTTGTCCCCATGCCAATACTTTTCTTACTACATCAGACAATGTTGCCAGTGACCACCACTGCAAGGCACTCAAGTTCTGTGACAATGAAGTCCTCAAAGACCTAGAACAGAAATAGAAGATACATAGTATACATGTCATGACATTTTCTTCTGGTGCCCGAAGGAGATGTCACTAACAATCATGTTAGTTTTCTCACTGATTCTGGACAGACCCTTAAGCAGCCACTACCAACTAATCAAAGTTAGCACACAACATGAGATTTATCCATCATTCCTCTTCCAGAGGAAATAAGGGTTTCTTGAGTCAATGAACTCTGGTCTTGACCTATGTTCTCAAGATGAGCTGTGACTCCAGCAGGAACCTCACACCCTTTATTGCTCTTCACTGTCCCCACATCCCTCAAGGACTTAGAGGTGATGTCTGCAAGCAGGTTTTCCACAGCATGGGTCTGCCAGACAGAGCAGGTGCAGGATTAGTCATGACTCCAAGCCAGGCGAGGTGATTAAGAAAAGCTAAATTTATATTAAATTATCATAAAGTCCTAAAATACTGAACATAGTGGTTAAATAACTCCAGAAAGTCCAATCTCTCCAGTGAGTAACGTTAAAACCATTACACATGAGCGCAGGAGAATCACTTCCATTAGTTTAGGACAGAGAGATTTTGCTTTTTACAGAGTAAATCAGTGCTCCAATAGATATTTCCTCAAATATGTCCTTTCTACATTCTGAATAGCCCAAGTGCAATAAGATCCTTTCCCCTTTCCAATCAGGAAAATGCCACCTTTCTATTTTCTCCTCCTCCCCAACTGTGAGTCGGAGGACCCAAAGTGCTCCTTCTTTTACTGCCTCATCACGTGTGAAATGTCCCCCTTTCCTCCTGGAAGTGGCACCTCACCTTTCCCACTTCCTGCACTGGAAAAGCCTCATTAGCCAGGCCTCACTGTATAGGTAGGCCCAGATCTGGGGCTGGCTACCGAGAGTGGGGCTGAGGGCTTGGCATCTGTCTCTAACAGTCTTAGAACCTACCAGAAAAGATTTGATCTTATCCTTCTTTTTCACCCATGTTTGACAGCTGGTTTCTCAATACCAATAACCACGGGACATGTTTCAAATGAGGAAACTTCCCCTAGAAGCCCTCCCCTCCATTCTTATCCCTATCATCTTGTCCTATTACTTCTACGTCCTGGAGAGAAAAGTCGTGGGTCTTCCCTGGGCTGGGAGGGCTTCATGAGTGGTTCTATCTTTCTACTCCTTGCCCACCCCTTTGCATCTTTATTTAGTCCTCCTCCATAGGACTTTGGAGATTGCTGCTGCCACAAGGCTAGGTCAGAAAAAGCAAATTGGTGGGGCTGGCCAGTTAGCTCACTTGGGAGAGCATGGTGCCGATAACACCAAGGTGAAGAGTTAGGATCCCCGCACTGGACAGCCATCAAAAAAAGGAAAAGGAAAATTGGGCCAAAATAAAAAAATAGAAATAGGGAGAGGTTGTAGGGCAGAAAACAGTCTCAACTCCCCTGATACTAGCGGAACACATGACCTTTGTGTGAATGCACATGAACCAAATGATGGCATCTCAGCATGGAAAGTAAGTCACTCAGCTGAGAAGAGTTACAATAGGAACTTCACCACTCCATAGCCACAGGCTCTCTGTCCACTGACTTAGATCCCTGAGCACTTGAGAAAGAACACAGGAGGTTCAACCTCATGGATACTTCCATTTAGGCCCTGAGTGTCCCAAGTCTCTAATCCAACTGCTCTTCCTGACCATTTACGAAAAATTCTGGTCTTTGAAAGATTTTTTCAGAATCTCTTTCCTTAGCATCCCAGAGAATAAGGGTGAGAGTGGCGGAACATTAAAGTTCAGGTGGTATGCTATGTTTGGTCTAGGCAGGGCTTCTTAGACGTTTTAGAGACTCAGCCTCCATGGCCCAACATTCACTCAAGCCACTGGCTCACAACCTGGTTACTTAAAGACTTAGGAAAGGTACCGGCCAATGGTGGCACCAGGAGGGAATTCTTATCAGCCAGTGGAGGGTGTCAGGGGCTCCCAGTCATTTGAAGGTAACAGTGGCTCCAGATATTCCAGCAGGAGGAAGAACAGCTTGAGAACACTTACATCTCACCAGTATCTGCAGCTGGAAAAGCAGTGATTCCTGAGGCGAGAACAATGTCCACTGCCAGCAATGGACAGGACACTTAGGCACAACTACCCCCCAAAGCTTTTTCATATTACCAACACACTTGAGACTGGAGGTTTCTCAGATGCCCATACCAGCTGGGCTGACCTTCTCTTCTCTCAGCCTCTATCCTTCATCACTCTCTTTACCCACAACCCCCTGCCCCAGCCCCTGGCAGGCAAGTTCTCTCATTGAGGAGGTCATGCCAGCTGTGATGGGGGAGAGTGCAGTCTTGGGTGATCAGCTGTGTCAATGCTATGGGGCAGGCACTGAGAGTCCCAGGGGAAGGGGTGGTGGAGGTCTACACTGACGAGGAGTTATTACTAAACCCAGTTTCAAGGGCCCAGGATGGAGTGTAAGAGGTGAGATTCATGGTAAAATTTAGGTCTAAATTCTTGCTATGTGCCATCATTTCTTGTGCACACGTAGTTATGGATTCAGGTTGAAAACAGCCTGGGCTTGGGAGCAGTTATGGGATAGGAGGAGAAGAACGAGCACATAGAAAAGGGGCCTTCTGTGTAAGTGAGCACTAGGACTGGAGGTCCATAAAGGAGAAGGAACAGGCAGGCAGGGAAGAGGACGTGGGCATTTAGACCTGGCTCTCTGAGGAGAGCTTGCGTTCATGCTTCCAGCCCGTGTCTGGCAGAGAGCCCCGTCTTTCTGGAGTGGCTGCAGTATGGACGCTGCTACACTCAGACTGCTCTTCCTGCAACAGCTGCTCTGTCTCCGTGTCATCCAGGGAGCCAGAGCTGGCCTGGATGGACACTGTGTCTGTCTTCATGCATACGTGATCCCGGAGAAGGCCCCCCCGTGAGCCGCGCAGTTGCTTGAGGTCATCCCACTCAGCATCGTCCCCAGATAGGAGGCAGATTCCCTCTACAATCTTGATCTTCTCCTTGGTGTAGTTATGGTCAGGCCCTCCCTAGGGTGGAGAGTGAGGAGACAGGATCAGTCAGTTGGCTCTCTACAAAGGGTCTCCTGATGAACTGAAAAAGGAAGTGGATGGGCAAAGAATGGGCAAAGAGAGCACAAAGATCCCACAAACAAATGGGGACACTTGATAAGAGCAAATATATGAAGGCTAGCCTAAAAGGAGAGAAGCAGCTATGATAATTATCACCATTAGCCTACAGGGAGGAGGGATACCCATGGCTTCTGGTTCTGCATCATCCCTTCACTGGCTATGTCAACTTGGGCAAATTACTTAACATCTCTAAAACTCAGTCTCCACATCTGCAGTGTAGGGAGAATAACAGTATCCACACCTCTCACAACCCATTACTGTTAGGGTTAAATGAGGTGATACATGGAATGCAATTATTAGTGTGCTTGACAGAAGATGACTAAACATGTTAGCTCTTGTTACACTGCTATTGTGGTTTATTAATGGGGCATCATGCTGATATAAATAATCAAAAGCAATTGGCAAAAGCAAGTAAAATGTGCACTTATTTGGGACTTTAAACTACTTTATGTGTTAGTTTGTTCTTAATTATCTCTTTTTTCTGATTTCTAAGGAGAAAACACGGGAGAGTTAACACAGGAGGGATCTAGAAAATCTTTATTTGGGTTCTAAATACCAATCTAGTGGGGTGTCCCTAACCTATAACCCTTTTTGGGAGATTACTTTGGCTCTGCTCCCCTGAGCCCTGGGACCATTCCCAAGCAACCTGGTATTGTTCCAACAACAGCCTGAGTTCTGCTCAGGCTTCTCCCTTTATGGATTCCTCAAAGTGTAGCCTCACTCCTAGCTTCTGGGGGATACCAACCAACATGCTGCCACTGCCAGAAAAAAATAGGCCATCACTTGGGTTCTGTCCCTGGGATAATGTTCCTGCCAAGAGTCCTGCAACTGCTGCTCTATTTTAGTAACAATTCAATTCCACAGATATTTATGGAGCCCCTACATTAAGCAGGATATTGTGCTAGGTGCTTGGATGATTACACAATATAAAACAATGGTCCCTGCCCTCTGGGAGTGACAGCTCCCTTGATCATGCAGAGACACAAACAGCACTCAGCATACACAGAGACACCTATTCATCCAGCACACCCACCAAGCTGAAATTAGTATAAGATAAGATGCAGGCCACTCAGAGTCTTCATCACAGAAACACAATGGTTAAGTTAGGAAGAGGTGGGGGACATGGCACTAGCAATTTGGGGGACACCACTCCCTCTACAAACACACAGCAACAGGTACCTGAAATCAAGAGGAAATCAGAAGAGAAAGGGTGAAAGACTATCAGAGGGGTGAAAGAGCTGCTGAGAAAGAAGCAGACAACAAAAGAAAGACATCACACAATTTTAATTTCTAACCTATGGCCTTTATTATGGTTCTTTTATGGGGCATCAGACACTCCAGGAACCCGGGAATCTTCAAGAGTCTTTCTTTCAAAGATATTAATTGAGAAGGGGTCTGCCATTCCTAGAACTACAAGCTATCTCTGCAGGTTATGTTTTGCCTGTAGTGGAAGTTTTTTAATATGAGAATTCATGGATCCAGAAAGCACAAGATTATTATGTAAAATGTATTCATTATGCATGAGAGCCCCGCAGGTGTGAGGGCAGGTTTTGACTGTGCTAGACAGGCCAAAAAAGTAGACTGATTAGGGTCTCATAAGGAATACCCTCTAATGAAAGTTTACAGGATTTTAGGAAAAAACAAAGGTTATATCAGACTAGGGAAATCTGAAATCCCAGGCTATATATAGATCCCTTGTGGAAATGGGACTGTTTTTCATGCCTAAACATTCAGCAGATAATTCTCCACTGAAGTGACAAAGGAGTTAAAAAAAGAAAAAGAAAAAAAAAAAAAACCACACAAACTTTAAAAATTCTAGAAACATTTCTTAAGACTCTGTGATAAGAGCAAAGATAGTGAAAAAACAGCCATTCACAGCCATAGGTGCCAGCTTGGATCGGAGGTTAGAAAAGGGAGAGTCCAGGAGCTCTGTGGGTTTTGGGGTATTGTCTAAGAGAGCTCCCTTGTTTCAGAGGGGGCACAGCCTCATTGCAGGGAAATGACAACCCCGTGAGAGAAAGAACCTGTGAGCCTGGAAAAATATCTCCTGGCAAGAGATACTCTTACTCACTGCATTTAGACCTAAATCTTCTGGGATCTGCTTTTTAATATTGTTCTCACTAGGGTCCCTCAAGCTGGACCCTCAAAGATTCTAGGTCTCCCCAGAAACCCAAATTACATTCAGTTCTTCTGTTCAGTATAACTTTCAAAATGGTAGATGCGACTACTCAGCAACCCTTACTGATCTATTCAGGCAACTGGAACATAATCCCTCCCTACCCACCCCCACCCCCCAAAAAACCTTGAATATAAATTTCAGTTTTTACCTCTTTCTTATAGCACAGTTGATTGTACATGGCTGGTTTGGGGATTGCTTCAATTTTCACTTCCTGGGTGGAAGTTCGGTAGGAGGGGTTGCTGTAGGTCAGGTTCCCCATTCCAGGATCTGTGAACTTGGATTTTTTGTGTCTTTAGGAGAAAAGGTGATGAGAAATTAGTTCACCTCTTTATGCAGGTAATACCTGGGAAAGTTGTAACCTGAGCTGGAAGGCAGCCTCTGGATGGTCCCGGTGATCCCCGCCTCCTGGTATGCATGCCTTTCTGAATCCCCTCCCCTTGAGTGTAGGCTGGATCTGGTGACTATTCTAATGAAAAGAATATGCAAAAGTGATAGATACTAGATTAGGTTACGAAGAAACTGGCTTAGGTCTTGGGTTACCCTCCTTCTCCCTCTCTTGCTCTTGCTCTAGGAGAAGCAAGCTGCCATGTTGCAAGCTGTCCTATGGATAGGCACACAAGGTAACAAACTGATGAGGGGGCCTCCAGCCAGCAGGCTGTGAGGAACTGAATCCTGCCAAAAACTACATGAGTACACATGGAAGGGAATCTTTCCCCAGTCAAGCCTTGATATGAGACTGCAACCCCAGCTGATACCTGGACAACAGCCTGTGAGAGAGCTTGAGGCAGAGGAGGCACCTAGCTAGTCTGCTTCCAGATTTCTGACCCACAAAAAACCATGAGATAATAAACTGACATCATTTTAATTCACTACATTTTAGGGTAATTTGTTATGCAGCAATGGATAACTAATACACTGAGCTTCACAGTCAAGACAGACCTACGTTTCATTCCCACCTCTGTTACTTACTAGCTGGGATCTTGGTAGACATAATCTAAACTTTCTGAGCCTCAGATCCTCATCTGTAAAGTGAGGGATAATAATACCTATGTCAGATATGTATACCTGATACATATACATTAAATGGTAACTGTTACTATTATTGTTATTATTATTATTATTATTAGCAGCAGCAAAATCCAAACATTTTTGCTGTAAGGTGTGTTTAAAGCATTTGGGGAAAAATATAAAGAAAGAGGGACATAAAAAGAAGATTCTAAATTGAAAATGACACCATTCTAC